AGTTACTCTCAGTGCTTTACACATCATCTGTGTCCCGCACACGGCCACAGTGGCCACCACTGTAAAGTAGCCACTAAAAACTTTAGGCCGGAAGACCTAAAGTGCTCGAGAGTCTGCTTTAGACAATTATCGCCTCAGCAATTAAATGGTAGTTGTATTTTTTTAAAGCTACTTTTATTCCATTCTTAGGGATCTTTATTTTCCTCTAATGTCAGCTCCAGTTGATATTAAAACCAGCCATAATACTTGATCAGATGGTAATCCTGTTGCTAACCTTCTTTGTTTGCTTCTTTTTGGAGATAAGGTTTCTCTGTAGCCCTGGCTGTCCCAGAACTCTTATAGACCAGGCTGGCCTCGAATTCAGAAACCTGCCTGTCTCTGTCACCCAAGTGCTTGGATTAAAAGCAAGTGCCACCACACCTGGCTTTCTGTTGCTAACTTTTTGAGGAACAAACAAATTAATTTCCATAGAAACCACACCATGTTAACCTTTTCACTAGCAATGTGTGGGGTTTCCTATTTGTCTGTGTCTGCCTCAGTACTCGTTACTTTCTGATAGCTATTTGAAACAAGGTCTCACTGTGTAGGCCTGGCTGGCCTGGAACTTGTGGGGACCTGCCTGCCTCTGTCTCCCTAGCGCTAGCATTAAAGGCGTGCGCCGCCGTACACTGCTGCTTTTTGGTTTTTTTTTTAAAGTGATGACCAGTGTAGTAAATGTGACGCATCATCTCGTTGTGGTTTGACCTATACTTCCTTGCATGACTGAGTATCTTTCCATGTGAGAGTTCTGCATTTATATATAATCTCTGGAGAAATGTCTACTTAACTTTTTGCCCATTTTAAATTCGAATGGTTTGCCCTTTTGCTACTGAGCTGTAGGTTACAGCTTTCATTCACACACACGTGAATGAACATTCTGCACACAAGCTTGTCCTACCTTCTGAGTGCTGGGATCAAATCCATGTGCCACCACTGCCTGGCCCATTCTAAGAGTTTTATCATTTATCTTTGATTTGGTTCATCTTCGGTTAGTTTTTGTATATGGTATGGAGTAAGGCTCTAATTAGGTCTTTGCGCTGCAGATACCCAGTCTGCTTCATAGGTTTTCTATAGAAATACTCTTTCCCAACCAGATGGACTTGCCACTCTTGTGAGGATTTTCCATCTTGATTCCTGTTTTTGTTCTATGGATCTGTATATACTCCTAATCAAAGTGCTGTGCTGCTTTGATCCCAGTAGGTTTGTAGTAAGTTTTAAAATCGAGACAGGTGATTCTTCCAACTTAGTTCTTTTCAAAATGGTTTAATTATTCAATGTCCCTTCAAATTCTATATGAATTTCAGCCTTTCTATTTCAGCAGAAAAATGACAGTTAGGCTTTGGGTAGGAATTGCGCTGATACACAAATAGTTTGCCTTCATGGCATCATGATTGTCTTCATTAGAACTTCATTTCTGAGCTTCTGGTGTGTTTCATGATTCAGAATGTTACTTTCTTGGTTACGTTTACTCCCAATTGAAAAATGTGTGTGTGTGTGTGTGTGTGTGTGTGTGTGTGTGTGTGTGTGTGTTAAAGGACAACTTGCAAGAGTCAGTTCTCTCTGCCGATTGTGTAGGACTTGGGAATCAAATAGAGGTCATCAGCCTTGGCAGCAAGTGCCTTTATCCCAAGAGCCATCTTACCAGCCCCATTTGAAATTCATTTTTCATGCTATGATAAATGAAATAAAACTATGTGCTGGAGAGGTAGATGTGGTTAAGAGAGCACACTCGTGTTGCAAAAGACCTGAGCTCAGTTCCTGGCACCCATGCCAGGTGGCTCACAGCCACCTGTAGCTCCAGCTCCAGGCAATCTGTTGCTTCTGGCCTCTGCAGGCACCTGCATTCATACACACAGATCTACACACATGTACATATCTAAAAATAAATGTTAAAATTAAAATTATTTTCTTTTTCTTTTTTTTCACCGCTAGCATATAGACATTCAGCTTGGTTTTGCGTGTTGGTCTTGTATTCTGTGACTTTGTTCAATTCGTTTATTATATTTACCAGGTTTCTGTCATTTATTTAGCATGTGTTACCTACAAATAGAGATGACTTTACTTTCTCCCTTTTCAATTAGAGTTCTTCTGTCTCTATTCCTTCCGGGTTACTCTGGCAAAGATTTCCCACAAGTGTTGAATAAAGGTAGGAGAAGGAGGCAGCCATGATCTAAGAGGAAAGGCTCTCTGTCGAGCCATGGAACGAGCTGTGTCTTTACATGCAAGCCCCGAGAATCATCCCGAGGGTGTTCCCCTTTACTCCATCTTGATTTTTCTCAGGGATTTTTTTCTGCACCCTTAGAGATGCCCATGTGGGATTGTGTGTTTGCTCTATCAACATGGTATGCTACACTGAGTTTTCATACTCGGAGTGACCTTTGTATTCCAGTACAAATTCCATTTAGTCGTGGAATGTTCTGTGTGGTGTGTAGCTGGCATAGCACTAAAAGCATTTGTTATTTGTTACTGGAATTGATTTGCTAGTATTTTCTTGAGGAGTTTTACATATATATCCCTGCATATACACTGCTCTGGCCCTTCTCCCTTTTCCCGCTCCCTCTTGGTTTTGCTTTTGTTCATTTGTTTTTGAAACAAAGTCTCATACGTAGCCCAGGTTGGCCTTACAATTGTGGAAATTCTCCTGCTTCTGCCTCCTGAGTTCTGGGATCATAGGCATGAGCCACCCCATTCATTCACTGTCGTTTTGTTTCCTGGAAAAAGCATATACCTACATAAATGCACATCTAATCATAAAGGAACAAGGATTATTTTCCTTGGGTCACTGTTACACTCAGATTGCTTTCAGCTTCAAGACATAGGTTTATAACCACATTACTTAGAAATAAGGTGGAAGATTGGGAAAGACTCGACTAAAACACACAAAACTGACTGTCTTTAAAAAGCGAAGGGTGTCCTGAGAAGGTGGCTCAGTCAGTAAGATGCTCGCCACACAGACATGAGGATCTGGGTTCAGATCCCTAGCACTCATGTAAATGCCAGGCCAGGGTATGTATACTTGGAATCTCAGCACTGGACAGGCAAAGACAGGAGGATCCCTGGGTTTTTCTGGTCAGCTAGTTTAGCCAATAATGTGAAGAGGCACTGAGACAGACACCCAGCACTGACCTTTGACCTCCACTCTTCTACATAACCACACCCATGTATTGGCACATGTACTCGAGCACACACACACACACACACACACGTGTGCATATCATGTGTGCACACACAAACACACACATATCTCACACATACAAAAAGAAGAGTGCAAGGGAATGGTCTTTTAAAAGAGAAGCTTAGCAGAACAGTTAGAGTTCTTGTAAAAAAAAAAAACAACAAACAATCAGAGAGAGTTCTACACCCATATCTCCTTCGTAGCTGTGTGACCATGAACAAGCTCTGAGCTTCATCTGCAGAGCGAAGAGTGTTACAGTACTTATTACTGAGAATATGGAAGCCCACAGACCCTGGGTCTCCTGTTTTACTCTATCAACACAGAAGACTCTGTGACTAAGTGTGTGTTGTGGGAGCAGATTATACCTCACATCAAAGAGATTATCTATTCTGAAGCTGGGTGTCTTCTCTTCTCCTTGAGGCTGACGCCATCTTCTTGGAGAGAGCACAGATCTAGAGTTAGGAATTCCACTTTACCTCACTGTTATTTAGAGGGCCATGTGCTCCTCCATGATTTCATTATTTCACTAGAGCAGCTCACAGAACTCCAAGAAACCCATTTCCTGATTTATTATAGAGGATATGACAAAGGGCTAGAGACCCTCAGATGAAGATCTGAGGCAAGGGGCCCGACCCTTCTTTAGGGGCCTCTACTTTAACCAGAAACTTCTAGTCTTCTTTAGTCCTTCAGGTAATCAGACTCCGTCTTGAAGCCACCTAAAGGCTGTCAGCTGCCAGTCGCCTCAATGGTTCATAAAATGGATTCCCTTGAATATTACAAAGATTTTAGGGATTGAGTGTCAGTAAATGCATGTTTCATAATATCATTACCAGAGTCCTAGATAACCAGGACAAATCACAGCAAACCAGAGTCTGACCACTTGCCTCAGAAATCAAATAGAAAAAGCAATGGCTAAAGGCAGAGAAAAAAAAAATTGAAGCACCTGAGGGTCCCTCTCTGGGGAAGAGTCCAGGTTTAAGTACAGGAAGACCCGATACAGGGGGCAAGAGGTCCTGCTCACAGTGGATGCTGTCAGATTGATGACATCTCTGTTTTTGTTCAACCAGTTGGCTCCAGGGGAATCATTCGTAGCTTCCAAGGCTTGAAAGGACAATTTGGTTTCCATGGTTCATACCTAGGGGTGACCTCATTTCTTCTCATGGGGCAACCACTCCCACTTGGGGGGACAGCCTCACCATGGGGTGATCTGCCTGCAGGGCTGGCTATTTCAAGAACCCAGGATAACTTTGGTTCAGGAGAATGAGTGGAGTCCTCCAGGGGCTGCTGTAGCAGACTCAGTAGCGTCAAAGCCCAAATCCTCAGTTACCCTTATCTTGATGCCTTCAGCCTTGAGGGCAGATGAGAAAGGTCAGAAGAATTTAGGGTCAGTTAGCCTAATCTCTCTCAGCTAGAGTCACTGGTCATTTTGGAGACTCCTGTTTGTGCTACTGACTCACTGGCTCCTGCTCTTGGGCATGGTTTTCCTCCTGGGTTTCCTTAGAGATGGCTTCTCAAGTCCCTCAAATTGAATCACTTCCCTGAAGGATCAGTTCAGCCTGGCCACAGATTCTGCCTCTTCCTCTGGTGTGTGTGTGTGTGTGTGTGCATGCAAGTGTTTGTGTGTGTGTGTGTGTGTGTGTGTGTGTGCGCGTGCGTGTACTTTGTTTTCTTCTAGAGACCCAATATTTCCAAACTCTGTAGTTCCCTTTCAGCCTAGCTAAAAAAAAAAGGGGAAGAGGACCAGGCCAACGAGGAGGAGGAGGTGGAGGAAGAGGAAAAGAACACCAACAGCCAGTGCAGCAGACGAGAACGTGTTCAGCTGTACTCATCCTCACAGAACTAGAAGCCGGGGAGCCTGTGCCTAGCTGACCCTCCAACCTGCATCGGCCCACGCTGCCCAGTGGAGGCCATGGAGTTGAGGCCTCTGCTGATCCTGCTGCTGTCCATAGCTTGGCATGGTAAGGAGTAGAAAAGGGGTACTCCTTCGGGTGTTACAGAGAGGACCCTGAAAGGAGTCTGAGCCCCAGATGCCCCCACTTTCTGCTTCCATCTCTCCAGCATAAGAGTGAAGGTTTGTGTTTATCTGAAGAGAAAAGAAGGCAAGAGTGCAATGGAAGCAGCCTGGCCAGGGCTGTGGATGTGTCTAAGCTTGGCCTTCAGTCCACAGCATGCCCTGAGTGTGGCTCCGATGCTTTCAGGACCATTATCCACAACTGCTCAATGGCAGGTGGGAGGGTGGAAGTGAACTGAACTTGAGAGCAATGCTTTCAGATGATTCCTGTGCGCACAGGAAATTACCTGGGGATCTCCTTCAAGGCAGATTCTGATAGGTCTCAGGCAGGACTGAGATTTGCATTTCTCAGAAAGTCTTAGGAGCTTGGCTGCTCAGTGGCTTTTGCAGCTCTTCCTGGAGCGGTCCCACCAGCCGGACAGCACAGAAGGCTGTGGTTACATAGGACCTGCCTCAGAAAGGCCCTTTCTTGGAAGTCTTAGGTAACAGGGTCAGGGTAGAAGAACAATAAGAGAAGCCTTTCTGTCCCAGGCCTCGAGGATGAAAAGTTTGGAGGGGAGTTGGAGGAGAACACACATGAGCGAGAAATCATGTGAATGAACAAGTAAGAGGGGGCCAGGGAAGGCCAGGGAGGGTCTCCCAGACGTTGTCCTCCTAGGCACCTCTCCCAACTTCTCAGGCAGCAGAATCTTCTTCAAAACTACCATCGCAGAGGGGATCTGGCTAAGGGTGAGACCTGGCATAAATGGCCCAGGGTGGCCCAACAAGCACATCCGGGCTCCACCTGGCCTAATACACGTTTTATACACAGCGCCTGCTTATCTGGAAAGAAAGACCTCGAGGGAAGGGACTTGGGGGGGAAGGACAGTCTCATTCTGGTCCCTGGAGAATCAGTACTACTGGCCCCTGGCGAGATGACAGGCTCTTTGCTGGCTCAGCCAATCTCATTGACTTGCGCACTGGCACATTTCGGTTAGAATGCGATTGGTGTACACTAGAAAGCACACATTCTTAAGAATACTGTTAAATGACATTTGACAGATGAACATGGTCATGCAGTCAAGGAAGAAGTTATTCCTCTCACCCCAGAAAGTCCTGTGGTTTTGATTCACTGCTTTTTCAGTCTTTATGTAGAGCACTGCTGTATGTGTGTGCATACATGTATGTGTCTGTCTGTCTGACTGCCTAATGTCCAACAGGGAAAGGAGCTGAGAGACATCACTGGAAAGCCTAAGATTTATAATCTAACAGATTATTGGTGAGTGGGTGGGACCATGGGAGCTTCTGTGGAGGTTGGAATAGTGTGGAAGCACTTAGAGGTAGACACTGAGAGAGAGAGAGAGAGAGAGAGAGAGAGAGAGAGACAGGCAGCCAGAGACAAAGACAGAGAGAGAAGAAGAGAGAGAGAGGTGGTCATGAGTACAAGAGGTTGAGGGTGCCTCCTGGAGCTGATGGTGGAAGAGTCTATTTTGCATGTACAAAGAGGAGGAGGTTTGGGTCATGGGAAGAATTTGAGAGGGGGAGATATGAGACGAGGAATGGACAGGCACAGGGGGTCAGCGGCCATCAAGTGCCCATCCAACGGGAGGTAGAAATAAGTGGGCTTCCCTTCCTGCCGGCCATGCCAGCGGGAAGTGAGAGCATCGTGTGGCGAATGTGGAATGTGTCAGCCCTGTTCTGTGTAAATATCCAGGGCAACAGACGAGGAAGAAATAAGACAGAAGCCTGTCCCAGGGCCTGTCCTGGAGGCCAAGACAGGAGACAAAGATAAGCGGAGCAGAGTAGCTTGCGGGAGGGGAAGGGGAAAATGTCTGGGAGATAAGGCAGGAGCAGAGTCACAGAACCCAGAGTCAGCTCCTGTGATCTTAAAAGTTAAAGTCTTTGGCTGGCATGCCCAAGAGGGACATTAGCAATACGGCACAGGAGCAGTAGGACAGGGCAGGAGAACTTTCATGCTCTGCTGCCTTCCAGGTGGACACTGGGATTGTTCTCACAGGACAGAAGAGCATCTGACACCCAGAGAGTCAATAACCTCCCCATCTGGAAATGACTGTCGGGACAATCCCTGACAGTCCTGGTCAATGTGAGCCCAGGCCAGGGTGAAATAGCTTGTCCCTTTTCCTTCTGGTCACCCTGAACAGGAAAGCCACAGGCACTATTCTCCTTTGTTCTACATCTGGCTGGCTGCTGGGGCAGGTGGACTCCAGTGGGCTTGAAATCAGAGCAGATACCAACTCAGGCTGAAATCATTTTCGAGAAGAGACTTTCCATTTCCTGACTCGAGCTTGGGTGCGTGCCGGGGGATGGGGAGAGGCTACCCATTGAAAGCGGTTATAAGAAACACTGGGCCTGATGCCCTCGGACCTGCCACACCACTGTGTCTGTCTCACCAGCTGGAGTAGGAGGGGTTGACTTGCGGGGTCAGCAAACAGGACAGTAGTCCAGAGAGGCCTCTGTGCAGAGAGTGTTCTGAGATGCAGCACACTGTCCCCTTCTCCAGGGGTCGCTCACTGTGTGGAGAGGGGCAATGGCCAGGAGGGCGGGGAAGCAGAAGTGAGAACACCAGTGTCGAAGGGCCACATGCTGGGCGGAAACCAGGGCCAGCCGGGTGCCAGCAATGTGCTTCCGCCCACACAGGCCGGCGGTGCCTGCCAGCCCCTCCAAGGCTGTGAATCAGTTCTCACTTCCCCCCTTCACCCTTATTTCAGGCCTGGGAAAAATGCTGACACTACAGAGGCAACTAGCCTCCTTCCCTAAGACCTGACAAGGGTTTTAAGTTCTCCTTTCTCCTTCAAGCAAATTTTCCTTAAAAGAGATTGGCTGCCAAGAAACCCAGCAGGTCCAGAGACGAGAGGGCCGAGTGGGTACCTCAGCAGTCTCGTTCATGAGCATGGCACCTGAGCCCGAGTGAATCTTTACTGGGATAGGTGATGCTGTAAAGGTTTTCTGGCACCTGAACAGCCTAACACACCGGGGAGGTGTAATCACTGCCTGTACTTGGGGGTGAGGACACAAAGGGAGGAGGATGGGTGGCTTCAGGCCACCCTACAGTGTGTGGACATGATGCCCAGTGGTAGGAGTGGGCACAGCAGGAGACACTTGGAGGCTCTCTACCGGACTAAGAAGAGTGGGGGAAATCTAGACTTGGCCATCTGCTTCTCTAGTCACTTGGTTGAAACTTGTCTTGCTTCAATGGGGTCCTGGCCTTGGCTCTGCAATCACAGCCTGTTTTGTATATGAGACTGATGGACACCTCTCCTGGGCTGGGAAGTGATGCAGAAGTCTGGGCCCCCATGGCTTTGTGGGGAAGCCTAGATAGATCTGAAGTTAAGGAGGCTCCCAGGCCAGTCTCAGAGGAGAGGCCCCTAGGCCTGGCCGATATCAACAGATTTGGGAGCTGAGGGAAGGCCTGAGGGGTACGGACCCATTCAAGTACCAGAACTATCCCTTTCAAAGCATGGCCCAGCTTAGCTGGGGGACAGCTGGGGTGCACCCCAGGCCTTACTTCTGTGTGCCACCTTCTTCAGGTCAGGGGGCCCCTGTCATTGAGCCCAGCGGCCCCGAGCTGGTTGTAGAACGGGGCTCACCAGTGACCCTGCGATGTGTGGGCAATGGCAGCGTGGAATGGGATGGCCCCATCTCTCCCTACTGGAACCTGGACCCTGAATCTCCCGGAAGCATCCTGACCACGAGAAATGCCACCTTCAAAAACACTGGGACCTACCGGTGTACTGAGCTTCAAGACCCCATGGCAGGCAGCGCCACCATCCACGTGTATGTCAAAGGTGAGGACTCCGAGTTCCCCGTATTGGGCAGGAGGGCTAGCTCCTGGCATTAGCATGCATAATAAACCAGATCTCAGCTTGTAGGTGTGAGCATTGACAACCAAGCACCCATAGTCATGCTATAGGGTAGATGCTATGAATACCTCCATTTTCCAGAGCCTCCGTGGGCTTGCCTCTGTTGCCTGAGGTCACAGCAGCAAGTACCCTAGGAGCACCTGGTTCCAGAAGCCAACCTGGAATGTTCTCTGAAGGGTCCAGTACAGTATGACTTTGTGCAAATGCTCAGCCCTCTGATCCTTCCGTCACTAATATTCAGTTGTTGCCTTGAACCCTCCTCTTGCCAGATCCTGTCCGGCCCTGGAATTTGCTAGCACAGGAGGTGACAGTCCTTGAGGGCCAAGAAGCTGTGTTGCCCTGCCTGATCACTGACCCCACGCTGAAGGCCAGTGTCTCACTGGTGCGTGTACGGGGCAAGCCGGTCTCACGCAAAACGACCTACTCCTTCTCACCATGGCAAGGCTTCATTATCCACAAGGCTAAACTGCTTGATAGCTATACATACCAGTGTAAAGCTGTGGTGAACGGGAGGGAGTCCACCTCCATCGGCATCCGCCTTGATGTGAAGCGAGGTATGTAAGATGGGAAAAACCTGGCCAGGCATGGAGGCAGGAAGGAGAGCTGGCAGCCATGGGCAGAGGGAGGACAGAAACTACCCTTTTCTCTCTTCTTTCAATTACTCTTTTCTCTCCGGGGCAAGTGGGGTGAGGTGTGCTGGGTGGGACTCTGAGCATGACACCAGCTGTGATGGACTAATCAGGACAATGGACCAGAGAACATTTGGGATCAGAACCTTCACTGTAGGTAGACCTCCACATGTCCTGTTCCAGGCTGTCTCCAGGCCTCAGGATACCAGACTCAACTTACAGGCTTGCTCCATGACTTCTGTGTGTCAGGAACTGTGCTGCTTGCCAAGGATCTCACCTACCGAGGCTAGACATTATACCTGAAAGGCAGATTTGAAGGTGACGCAGACTGTCTAGGTGAAGCAACTGGAAAAGGCCAGGGTAGGGTACAGCCACCAGTGGGGGAGGCTAATGCTTTTACACATGAGCTCTCTGAAGCTCTCTCTCGGAGCTAATGATCAACAGCGGGACCTGGGCATGGTAGAGGGTATCTGTTATCCCAGCACTGGCAGCCTGAGCTATAGCATGATACCAGGTATCAAAATACATAAGTCACTTACCTCCAGGTCTAGTGACCAAGCTAGACCCTTGGAACCCTCTCTGCTATAGAGAGCTGTCCTCTGACCTTTACACAGGCTGGAGACGTAACTCAATGGAAGAACAGTTGTCCTGCATACCTCTGACCTTGAGTTTGAGACACAGCACTGCAAACCAACCATCACCACCAAATTGGCATAGCAAGAGCAGCCATCATTCAAAGGCATAGAAAGAAAAGTACTATGGGAAAGAGGGCAGATGCAAAGGCCCTACGATGGACAAGTCTAGCCTTAGCTGCAGCGCAGTATACACAAGCCTGGCAGGCACAGCAGGCATCCCATGGGCTTTTTTTTTTTTTTTTTTGGTCAAGGTTTTTCTGTTTAGCCCTGGCTGGCCTAGAACTCCTACTTCTGCCTACTAAGTGCTGAATTTAAAGGTGTGTGCCACCATGCCCAGCCAGGGACTGGCTTTTATTCTGAGAATGAATGTTTACGCAAGTGAAGGGCACAAGAGAGGACTTTGGATGCCAGGAGGAGAATGAAATGGGAGGCAGGAGGCTAAAAACAGTGGTGGCACTGGAAGCAGAATTCGAGGGTGATATAGAAGAGCGACTCTCCTAGGGACTTGCTTGTTGGGAAAAATGGGGCATCAATGCTGGCTCCTAGGGTTTGGGTGGAGAATGATGGGACCCTGACCAAGCATCCTGTCCCATGGTGTTGGATACAGTGCCAGTAAGCCTAGGTGTTCATGGGTTGTTTCTGGCCTCAGCCCACTCAGAGCCCCCACCCATAACATTGGAGCCTACAGAGCTGGTGCGGATTCGAGGGGAGGCTGCCCAGGTCGCGTGCTCAGCCACTAATGCAGACGCCAACTTCAATGTTATCCTCAAACATGGAGACACTGAGGTCAGTCCCCGGGGGAACTGCACATTCTCTCAGCACAGAGGCTTCCTGTGCTCAAACTAGCTTTCTGGGCTAGGGACATGGCTGTGGACCAGAAGACCCTGTGCCAGCAACAACTGACTCGAGCTGCTGGGGGAGGAGGTGGCAATCTCATTCCTTTCAGGGATTACCCTGTACCTTTGCTCCAGCTTATAGAGCGCTTACTTCTGACAGAACAAGGAATTCCTAGGCTCCCCTAGAAGCATGGGGCATGCTGGGTATTTCAGGAAGACTTTGAGTGAGAGGGAAGATGAGAATTCCTTGGAAGGAATGGAGAGTCTGCCTCCTCGATTCCTCACCCCATGTGAACTGTGTGTCAGGTCCAGCCCTGAGCCCTTGCTATATGACTCTACTGTATTCTCGCTTTGACCCTGGGGTAGGGGACTGTTATTCATCCCATTTTATCGATGGAGCAACTGAGGCTCAGAGTTCAGTCCCTTGCCATGCACAGGCAGATCATCTTTTTAAAGGTGGAGGATTTGAATTCAGAGCCTAAAACAATTTTAGTAAGTCATCTCTATTCTTTCTGTCTACAGCTTAAAATCCCCCTGTACAGTGACTTTGAAAATGACATTTATAAAAAAGTCAGGAACCTAAGCCTCAGTGCCGTGGACTTTCAAGATGCTGGCAAATATTCCTGTGTGGCCAGCAATGAAGCCGGCTTACACACAACCTCAATGAACTTCCAGGTGGTGGGTGAGCATCAGGCGATGGGGGAGGCCTGTTGGGAGGGAGGATGGTGCTTGACCCTGGAGGCCCATCTCAGGAGACTTCCTAGACCCTCAACTTCCTCTAGCAGAGCATGAGTCGTGATTTACTTCAGTGTGTTCCGTGCTGGGATGGGATGGGAGCCCAGCACTTCCCTAGTGCAGTCCGTGCCAGTTCACTCATTTCCGAGGGCATGGGGAATGACACAGACACACCAACAGACAGCGCTTCCCTGCTGTGAGGGTCTCCTCAAACACCAGCAGTCCCTCTAACTGCGGCTTCCAAGCTGGGGCAGGAGGGGTGATAGTGGAGGTGCTGGGTCTCCGCTAGAAAGGAAGGGAACACTAGGTGCCAGCCCCGAGGGAAAGGAGCCCAAGCATCTCTGCGACACCAAAGGCAGCTGAGAACGTCAGACATGTAGAGATGTGTGAGCAGTGGTGATGAGGGGTTGAAGATGAGGCAGGAGCCGGGTGGCAAAGAGCCTTAACGGAGTGGGTGGAGAATTTGCATCTTATCCTGGTGAGAGGTCATGGAGGTTATAAAGCGAGGACTGAGGTCTCCACCGGGCTCAGCTTGCACAGGAGGGACTGGGAGTCAGGAGCACCCACTTCTGCCTGTCATCAGACCTGGTTCTGCCACATATTACGTCAAACAACCTCTTTATGCCTCAGTTTCTTAACCTGAAAACAAAGTGAGAGTACTGGAGCATGTTTAGAAAACATGTTTAGAAGAAGCCCTGGTCAGAGCCACACTGCTGGAGCGTGCAAGCAAAGACTGCATTAGGAGACCCACCCTGGTGCTGGAGGAAAGGAGAGAGTGGTGGGGGTGCCAGCCACGGTAATGAAATGCCCTCCCATTGCCTGGCTATTGAGTGTGGAGCTATTGAGTGGCATTCCACAGGCCGAGAACCACACAACAAAGCAGTTCTACTGTGTGAGAAGGGCTTCTGAGTGTGGTCTAGAAGTGTGGCCGGCTAAGTGACCATGTGTGGAGTATCAGAGAGGAGGAGATGGAGGAAGCATGAATCACTGGCCTCAGAACCCACGCAGGCAGCTCCTCAGAATTCTGTAAGGTAGAGGAAAGGGAGACAGAACTCACGCAATGTCCACCTCCTGTCACAGCTCTAGCCAACCTGCTTCCTAGCACAGGCATTCAGGAGTCACCTCAAAAATGTGTGCACATTCAACTTTTGGCCAGATGTGTGTTCGGGCTTGAAGTTGGTGGAGGGCAAGCTCAGACACTTTAGGCATGAGAGCTCAAAGATCACGGAGCAGCTGTTGTGCCGTAAGATAGGTCTGAATGCTGCATTCAAGGAATAGCTGGTCAGTGGGGTTGGGGCGGCACGAAGGAGAGGTACCATGTGAGGTCAGAGAGGTAAACTGGACAGGTAGTCTGTCCAGTGGTCCTGAGATCCCGTGTGAGGACCTAGGCCTTTTCTCCTGGAGGAAGTGAGGAACAGTTTGAGGGTTTGAGCAAAGCAACACTGTGGTCAGATGTGGGTATGATGGATCATCAGGGAGAGAAGGAGAGGGAGTAAATTAGGCTTCCCCAGTGGTCTAAGCTCAAGTGGTCCGAGGTAACCAGTCCGGACCAGAGTGGTAATCGAGGTTGGGAGAAGGGCTTGGGATAGCTGAGTAGATGAATGGATGAATGGGGTGGCAGTGGAAAGCTAGGTGACGGAGTTGAGACCTGGTTGGGCCTGGAGACTGTGATCCCGGCGCACGGATGTGCTCGGGCCCTGGCTCAAGGGGTGGATAGTCCAGTGAACAGATAAAGGAGGCCATCTCCCCACTCACACTGGATCTTCTGGGTTGATTTCCAGAGAACGCCTACCTGAACTTGACCTCTCAGCAGAGCCTCTTGCAGGAGGTGGCCGTGGGGGAAAGCCTCACCCTCACAGTCAATGCAGATGCCTATCCTGGCCTACAACATTATAATTGGACCTACCTAGGGCCATTCTTTGAAGACCAGCACAAGCTTGACTTTAACACCCAAAGGACCACATACAGGTACTGCCTGTCAGCCCGTGGACAAATGCAGGGTGTGTGTGGTGGGAGAATAGGGGGGACTTCAGCCAGAAATGAGGATACCATGGTCCTGTTCCATTTATGCCACACTACCCCGGGCGGGTCCCCTTCCTTTTCTCCATCTCACTTTTCCTGACTCTGGGAATATTAGTCCCCTGCGTCAAGTTGTCCTATCTCCCTGCCTTGCGCCTCTAGAAAGCCCAGTGCTTTCCTCTGCTGCTTTATCATTTCCGGGGGTGTGTGCTGTGAAGCTCACTTGAAACCTCTCAGCTGCATTTCCTGTCCTCGGTATAGTCAATGCCAATGTAGAAGAAGAGTCCAACTTCCACCCCAAGATGTATTTGAGGTAACAGCCATACCTGTCAAATTCACACAGAGAGGGGCCAGACGGACACAGTCATACATTTGCTGAAGGATTAATCATCCCCAAAACCTCCTTTTAGAAATCCTTTCCTTAGGCTCTGGGGTATTTTCAGGGTACATGCTCCTGCCACACCCACTCTGCTGGCACCCTTCTACGCTTAGAACTTGGGTTGGCCAGTGTCCACCACAGTAGATATATACGGCCTACCTCTGAATGGAGCATATGCTTGAGGGCTTTGCTCTCCTGACCCAGAACTGGAGCCCGTTAGGTGAGCACTCTACCACAGAGCCGAACCCAGACTGAAACTGCCTTTTCATAAAGTGAATTGTAGTCTAGCGGTGGCTGCAGACCTTGTCTAAACTGGTGCTTTGCTATCATTAGTGCTGGGGAGATGTCTCCATGGTTAAAGAACAAATGCTGTTTTTGCAAAGGACCCAGGTTCAGCTCCTAGCATTCACAGAGCCTTATTAATCTGTAACTCAAGTTCCAAGGGATCCGATGCTCTCTTCTGGCTTCCATGGACACCAGACACACATGTGGTACACACACATACAAGCAGGCAAAGCATTTATACACATAAAATAAAAATAAATCTTAAACATGTATTTTAAATATACGTTTTATTTTTATGTGTGTATTTTGCTTGCATGTGTTCATGTGCTCCACCTGTGTGCCTGGTACCTGTAGAGGTCAGAAGAGGGTGCCAAATCCTCTGGAACTCCAGCTATAGATGTTTGTGAGTCACCATGTTGGTGCTGGGAACCAAACCTGGGACTTCTGCAAGAATACCTGCTGTAAACCCCTGAGCCATCTCTCCAGCCCCATTGAAAACGTGTTTATTACCTGAGTAATGCATCTGTTAGCTGGACATGGGGCACACGGCTATTGTAGGCAACAGAGGCAGAGAGATCAGGGGCTCAAGGCCATCTCTAGAGGGTACATAGCAAGTTTGAGGTCAGCCTGGGTTATATCAGAACCTTGTCTCAAACAACAACAAATACACTCAAAATGGGTGAGTCATCAGTTAGAGACTAAGACAACGAACTGGAATCAGCCCAAGGTGACTTTTTGCATCAGCATTTGCTTCCAGACTTTTCTGCAATAAAGGCCACCATTAAATTAAGTGCCTATAATGAGTCAGATTCTTGCCCAGCATTTTAAATGCACATCTCTTCGACCCTCAGGCCAAGCCTATGAGTTAAAGACAAAACCAAAAACATAAGACTCCCTCTCAGAGCTGAAGAAGACCACAGCAGTGGAGTGGCTGTGTAAAGTCATATAGCCAACAACGCTAGCATTGGAATCTGGCCTCTGGTGTCTGTAGCTGCACAGCTCAGAAACATTCCTGTCTCTCGTCTCTGTCACCATCCCTTGAGACAGGGCTAGCACATCAGGGATTTTTAGTAGGGGTTGTGGTGTTTGTGAACGCTTAGTCCAGTGGTAAGCAGGAAAAGGAACTTATGACGTACCTCCCAGAACCTTGCAGACATCATCTGTAATAAGCCCTTTGGGGGCAGGACAAAGAACACTCAAGAACACTGTCTGAGAGGACAGTGAAGGACCTGGCATAGGCAGTCTCAAAGGCACACTCTTGAGGACCCGGCTCAGCCAAGGCCTCTTTGCCCTGAAACTGTACCAAAGGATCCGCCACTTTCTGCCGCTGCTGCTGCTGATAACAGTAGCATCTCTTGACTGTCTTGTAGGTACTCATTCAAGCTCTTCCTGAACCGTGTAAGGCCCTCAGAGGCTGGCCAGTACTGTTTAACGGCACGAAACAAAGCAGGCTGGAATAATCTGACCTTTGGGCTCACTCTTCAATGTGAGTGATAGGGACAGGCTGCTCAGGACTGGGGGTGCTGGGGGGGGCGAGGGTAGCAGGTTCAGGGCAGGGGTGGTCAAGAGACAGAGACCTCACCGCTAAGGCTAACCCTGTCCTCCTCCATCCTTCCTTTCCTCCTCAGACCCTCCAGAGGTCAGTGTTACATGGATGCCTATGAATGGCTCTGATGTCCTGCTCTGTGATGTCTCTGGGTACCCTCAGCCCAACGTGACATGGCTGGAGTGCATGGGCCACACCGATAGGTCAGTGGGCTTAAGTCCCCTCCTTAGGCTGAGCGTCTGGGTGGGACACTCATGAGTGGGAGGAGCATGCTGATGTGATAACCCCTGAAGCCCTGAGTCAAAGTCTATTCTTTCCAGGTGTGATGAGGCCCAGGCCTTGCAGATTTGGAATGATGCCCACACCGAGGTCCTGAGTCAGGAGCCCTTCCACAAAGTGACCGTTCAGAGCCAGCTGCTCATTGGGACCTTCAAGCACAACACAACTTATGTTTGTAGGGCCCACAACAACGTGGGGAACACCTCCCAGTCCTTCAGGGCCATCTCTGTAGGTAATTCATCATCCCTCCCCCTCAGCTAGAATGGGCATCAGGCATGTGGAGACTGCTTGCTCCCTCACCCAGGGATTCCTACTTGGAGAAGATCCCAGCCGTGCCGACTTACACCTCTGGGTCACCCTGGCTAATCCTGAGCCACAGAGCTCTGGAGACAGTTATATGGAGAGGTCCAGAGTCCCTCACTTGGGACTGAAGAGAAAAGGGCAAAAGGTCAGGGAGTGGGGGCGGGGAAATGAGGCAGACCCAGACAGAGAATGAGAAAGGACTGAGAATGACGGGCAGAGGTAGAGACAGGGACTCCTGAAGCAAGCTGATACACCAGTCTGATCCTTTGACTCCTGCTCCTCCATGCATTGTTAATTCTTGCAAGGGAAAGAAGAGTTGGGATGAAGAAATATTGATCTTCCCAAATCCAAGGCTGGAAGGAATGCTTTATCCATTTCTCTCCAGCTCTCCCTTGTTCCCTGCGCTCCCCAATCCTGAGACACGGTTCAGCCCACTCAGGGCCACTGTGCAAGGGTTTGTCCAGTGCTGACATGGGCTTGCACCTGTTCTTGGTCTCACCCAGAAGTCCTCAGCCTCCTCAGTCATTGAAAAGCTAGTAATTTGGCACCTACTGTGGGCAGGGCCTGGGCAAGGCTCTCAATCCAGATCGAAGGGCAGGCCTTTGGCTTCTGCCTGGCTGAGGGATCGAGTCACTAACCTGGAGCAGTTGCTGCCATTGCCCATCCTGTCTGTGACTGCTCCATGTCACTGCCGATTGTGGCAGTTGTAAGCAGCGAAGCCTGCACTGTGCCGGCACTATACCAAGTCATAGTCTCTATGAACCCTCACTCTTTTAGTAGTAAAGTCCCATCTTCCTTCATTTTGGAAGGATGACACACCTGAGATGTTCAGAGACGTCCCAGTGTGGTGTCACTCATCTACTGAGAGACCCAAGCTCCTAGCTGGGCGTGGAAATCAACTGTGTCCTTCCTACTACATTGAGATGACCAGGATTAGAGGTCAAGAAGGGGAGACCTATGGCTCCTGAGCTGTCTCTCAAATTCAGAAGGCTGCTGAGCTCTTAAGGACACACAGGGAAGCTGCAGGAAAGCTAAGGAGGGTTTGGGTGTAACCCCCAGAAGGCCTTTCTGCCCACAGGTGTGAGGGATAATGCCCCACCACAGGGGTTGGCATGCAAGCAGTGGCTGGGCACTGAGCCAGCCTACTACAGAGTTTTCACGCACTGTCAAAGAGGTGAGGCTATATCCAGGTCTCCCCACCTGCTCACGCCTCTGTCCCTCTCTTCCAGGACGAATCGAGCAGCAACCTGATGAGTCCCTGTTCACTCCGGTGGTGGTGGCCTGCATGGTTGTCATGGCTCTGCTGCTGCTGCTCCTCTTGTACAAGTACAAGCAGGTGAGCTGGGCAGCGGAGCTGGGCCTGGACCCCGAGGGAGCCATCGGTGGATGGCACCTGTTCGCTCTCGCTCATTCTGACAGGCTGTCATGCAACTGGCAGCTCCTCAGTCGGCGTCTACTGTGTGTCAACATGGGCTAGCATTAAGAAGCTCCTCGTGCTGTAATCCTAAGCTTTTACTGTTGTGGGGCCGGAGAAGGTGTGAAATTGAGGGTGTGCCTAAAAGTCGCCTGGCTCTGCCTGGCTTTGCTTATGGGACCCCAGGAAGCTCCTTTCTCCATCTGTAAAATGGGGTTCCTGGTGGCGGGTTGTCACCAAGATTCTCCAACCTATATGTGTAGAGGGAGGTGTAGGGTGTCGAAGACAGCACTCAGTGGTGGAACCTGTGCTCCCGTGCAAGTAGGAAGTTGGCTGCAGACCTAGTTAGCTCGTGCACATTGGGATGGGAGTGCGTCTGAAGCTGGCATCTCCTTGACCGCTTACCAAAGTGGTTCCTGGGTGCCACTTGCCACCAAGACACGGCTTAGTCACTGTCATGGCTACCGATGCTGGGAGAAACACAAAGTCCTTTCTTATGTGGAACTAGAGGCTGTCTCTGACGCTCCAAAAACACCAGGATCCCACAGCCCTTTCTGCCTTGACTGATTGGCCTCACCTGATGGTGGTCTAGGGTGCCCCAGCTCTCTCTACAGTAGGAGTTTTTTAATATATTACTCCGAGGTACCTTCTTATTTCCCATCCAGGAAATTTAACTGCTTCTTACACTGCCCAAGACCAGGGGACCTTCAGCCTCTGCTGCCCTCTTCCACCATACCCTTTGATGTCCACTGGCTGAGGTGCTCATGAAGGAGAGACCTGAAAGGTCTCTCAGGGCAGTCAGCAGTCCTCTTCTGGCCAGCCTCTTCATGGTGGACTTGGCCCCACCTGTCTTTTATCTCCCAGGTCTGGGTGAGAAGAGGCCTGCTTATGGAAGGGTTGTTTCTGGTCAGGGCTGAGTCATCGCCTTCTGTCTCCAAAAGAAACCGCAGCAGTGGGGAACACACAGGGGGAAGAGGAAAGGGTAGGAGTCAGCTATCCCTGAAGATAGGGACAAAGGAAGAGAGGATGATGGGTGCAGAAGAGAGAAGGGTAGAATCAGAAAGAAGATTCCGGGCCTAGGCCTAAATTGAAGCAGGAGGGTCTGTAGAGCTCCCAGTGGTCTCCACCTTCCCCAGGCTCCATACCTACCCCATGGACCGGAGGCCTGTGGGGAGGGCAACCAAGATCTGATGTTCCCACGCCCTCTTCAATCCCAGTCAGAAAATTAGGAAAAAACCTCAGCATACAGTACGAACAGCCCATAAATTGATAGGCAATGAGGATTTAGCCAGGCCCAGCTCCCAGGAAAGGCTCAGGAAGCCACCTGCAGCTGGTATTCCTTCTAGGCCACCCCACCTTCACAAGGGCAGCTCCTAAAGTTCTAGGGATGAAAGGAATTCCTGAGGTTGGGGGGGCCAGGGGGTCCAGCACTAGAATCATGGATTGGGAGTAAGCCTCCAGCTGAACCTCCCTCCCCCCCTCAGACGGTCCCTTCCAACATTGCCCTAGCAGAGGTGGGAGGGCTGACTCAGCCCAGCTGCAGAGGAACAGGGGAAGCAGAAGTGGCTAGGAGAAAAACAGTCGCAGCCACAGAGACTCCTGGAGATGGAAGATGGAAGTGACAGGAGGGGTCACCCAGCCTGAGGGAGGTCCTCCCCAGATCTCATTTCAGCCACTTTCCCCAAGCCATAACATGTTCATAATATTGTTTCTGGAAGTGTTTTGTGTTTGTTTGGATGGCCTCAAACTCCGTCTGTAGCTAAGGATCAGCTAAACACCTGATCCTCCTACTTCCATCTCCCAAGGATTACAGCGTGTCTCATCATGCCCACTTGGGTGTTCTTCCTTAAGTCTAACTGTAGTCTTTTCTCTCAAATGTCCAGCGGGAAGTTCTTCTTTGTAGTTAGGTAAAATCTACTTGGCTTGTAAGACTTCAGCAGTGGCTGAACACAACACAGCCACTTACAACAGTCGCTCACTCATCTTTTAGCTCCTCTCGCTGAAGCATCCTTGAAGGAAACAGCCCAGTCCCTGTCCCCAAGGCCTGTTGGTCTGTTGAACAAGGCCTCGCTGTCCTCCACCAGCCCAGTTTCCACTTTCCCCTAAATGTGGCCTTCTCTCAGTACTTCTCAGGGAAGCTCTGGGTGTGACCCCTGCCCTCAACGTAGCTGCCCCTGAGGCAGGGAAAGGTGAAGTACTCCCTCCCTCCTGCCAATACCCCAATCTTAGCTGGGTTGAAGGGCCACCGAGAACCTGAGAGGGAACTAGAGCCAGCGTAAGGTGTAAGGTTCAGGGCACCCCGTTTGTCAGAGGGCTCTGCCTCAGAACCTATTCCTTCTCCCTAGAGTTAGGAAGTAGCCCACACTTCACAGCCCTCCTGACCTTCCTGCCTGGACGCTCCCCTCACATTCACTAAGCCACATCGGTCACCTGCCTGTCTGTGGAGTTTGTCAGGATTGTGGCCATCTCATGGCTGTCCAGCATTTGTGTACTCTGTGACTGGCAATTTCTTCTTTCTGGCTCCTCATGGACTTGCCTTGCTCATCTTACATCACTCTCTGTCCTGTCACCCTGTTTTGTTGGCTTCATGACATTATTTTTAAATGTTTTAAAACAGTTGTTAGTATATATTAATTGCATGTAACAAGGGGATTCATATGACATTTTTAAGCATGTGCATAATGTATATTGATGATAATGATCATATTCACCTTCCATTACCTTCTCTTGTCCCTCTCCCATACCTGCTGGTCCCCTTTCTTTCCCCCAGTTCCTCTTTGACTTTAATTTGTGTGTGTATGTGTGAATATGTGTGTGTACAGGAGTGCATGTGTGTGCATACATATGTGTATACATTTGTGTGTGTTTGTGTGCTCATATGCAAACATATGTTTCAATATGTTTCATTAGGGTTGCTTACAGAAGTGTAGGTGAGAAGTTATTTACAGGGATGGGCTATACAACTGAGTCAAACGTCTCTCCCACTACAGTAATCATTAACTGACTAAAGATAGTCAGAAATCCTGTGATCCTCCTCCAAGCCGGGGTGTTGATAGGACTAATCCTGTCCAGGTCTTACGCAGGTACTCACAGCTGCTGTGAGTTCAAGACAACAGCCATGTCGTGCCCGGAAGAGTGTTCCTTAAACGTTTACTCCACCCCAGCTCTTACATTCTTTTCTATGGTGTTCTCTGAGCCTCACCCTCAGCACTTTGACCAGTCATGAGTCTCTGCAGTTACTGCTGACTCTTGCAGACAGCAGTAGCTTCTCTAATCAAAGCTGAGAACAGCAATGATCTATGGGGATAAACAGAAATATTTGGAAGCTTAATTGACAGGCACATCATACCCATTCAGCAAAACAGCAGCTGTATATTTCCCACTAGGGCTAATAATATCTCTAGCCAAGAGCTCTTGACTAAGATGACAGTACTGGTTGTGGTTTCCCTCCTGTAGCCTCAATTCTATTCAGAAAGTAGCTGGTTTCTCCCGTAACAGACTTGATACTACCTGTTGTTGTTGCTCTGTTTTGTTTCTCTAGACAGGGTTTCCCCACGAAGCCCTGGCTGTCCTGGAACTCACTCTGTGGACCAGCCTGGCCTTAAACTCCCAGAGATACACCTGCCTCTGCTTCTCTGAGCCCGGGATTGAAGGTGTGCACCACCATGCCCGGCTAGACTTGACACTATTTGCACATCTTTTGAGGCATTACTTGATGGTTTCCTATCTATATATTGAAGTTGAATGGCACTCTAGTCACTCAAATGCCAACCCCATGGAGCCAAGAGTTTGCCTTGTTCAATTATGAATTTCTCATGCATGATAGAAGTGAATGCTCAATAAAATGTCTACGTGGCTGTATTAGTCAACCTGGAAAAGAGAGCGAATTCTGACCTCAGCATAGGTAAGATGATGGCAAAAGAAGTCACAAAAGACATTGCATGACCCCACTTAAACGAAACACTCAGAACAGTAAAATTATTAGACACAAAGTAGAGTTGTATCTTCCAGTGGCTGGAAAGAGGCAGGAGTAGGGAATTATGATTCACTGGGTACAGAGCTTGTTTTTATGAAGTAAAAAAAAAAAAAGAGTTCTGTTTCCTATCACTGTGAATGCACTTAATACTACTGGGGAGTATATTTGAAATGTTTCGGATGGTACATTTTCTGTTCTATATATTTGTCTACAATTGAAAATAAAAGTAGGGATGGAGTATAGCTTAGCTGTGCAGTATGTACTTATGCACATATAAGGCCCTGGCCCAATTCATAGTGCCCCCCAAAAAACCAAGGACATAAACTATATGGGTGAGAGAATGGATAGGTTCATGAATGAATGGATAGTTCTCAATTTCTGTCCTCCACCTTGACCCAGGGATTATCAAACTCAGAGTCATCAAGGCCCTCAGAAATCATCTTATCTGAGTCTTTGAATGAACAGCTAAAGAAAGTGAAGTTTGTAGAAGGGAGGGTCACTTTGTAAGGCAGGATGAAGCATGGATTGCCTTGGGATGCTGGGCCCACATGATGCCATGCTCTCTCTCAGCACATAGCAGGCTGAGAGCTTCAGGATGGTCCTCCCATGCTCTTGGGAGGTGAGGAGCTAGACCATCAGCCCCATGTCTTCCTTTCCTTCTGCAGAAACCAAAGTACCAGGTACGCTGGAAGATCATTGAGAGCTACGAGGGCAACAGCTACACCTTCATCGACCCCACCCAGTTGCCCTACAATGAGAAGTGGGAGTTCCCCCGGAATAACCTGCAGTTTGGTGAGCGAGAGCGAGAGAAGTAGGGGGCATGTGGGGGCTGCAGGGACCCTGTGGGCCTCAGGAACCTAAGGAACTCATGTGTGTATTACAGGTAAGACTCTTGGAGCTGGTGCCTTTGGGAAGGTGGTGGAGGCCACAGCTTTCGGTCTGGGCAAAGAAGATGCAGTGTTAAAGGTGGCTGTAAAGATGCTAAAGTGTGAGTGAGAGGAGGTGTGGCATGGGGGATGGGGACTGGGGAGTGGTGTCTGCTACAAGTCTGACTCCCCTGTCACAAGAGTTGCTTTCCACACTTTTAACCCTCCCTCCCTCCTTCCCTCCTTCCCTCCCTCCTTTCTTCCCTTCCATTTGTATATCTGCATTTCTTCTCCCTCATTTGGACTCTGATCCCTCTGGGTCTCTGGGTGGTTGCTGTTTGCCCTGACTTTTGGCCCCATCTCCCAGCCACGGCTCATGCTGATGAGAAAGAGGCTCTGATGTCAGAACTGAAGATCATGAGTCACCTGGGACAGCATGAGAATATAGTCAACCTCTTGGGAGCCTGCACTCATGGAGGTAAGAGCTGGGCAGGATTGGAGACTCACGGTCTTGCGTATCCAAAGTCCCTAGACATCTGCCTCTGGTTCCCCTTCTCATCTGCTCTAAGTACCTGTACGATGCTTGCCTCCAAAGCTCTGATATTCTGAGCCTGGACTCATAGAGTAGGAGCTGCTCACGGGTGATGTGCAGCTCCCTAAGCCACTTACGGAGAATTTAACATGAAACCCCAAAACGACCTTTTAAAAAGCCCCTACCTTAGACCTACATGCCCCAAGACTCCAAGTCACTTCTCTCCTTTTCATAATAGTGGCTTTGTCCTATGCTGAACTGCATGGATCTCCTCTGAAGAAAGAATTTTTGAGCTAAAATTTCCTTTCTTGAGACAGTCTCATTTTAATCCAGGATGGTTTGGAATTTCTTATGTAGCCCAGGATGGCCTTAAACTTGTGATCTTCTTGTCTCAGTCTCCCGAAGGCAGGGAATATAAGCAGGCATCATCACAGGAGGCTAGGCTAAACTCTTTTTTTGAAAGTTTTGTAAGTTTTCATTGGCTTTACCCAGATGGAGTTAATTAAGGCACAAAAAAGCCTGCTCCAGAGGCAGGATTAGAACTCAGGTGTACTGCTTCCCAGGCCAGAGGCCCCTGTTCACATGGGGAGTGGAGCCTTGGAGTGCACCTCCCTCACCCTGACTTCTGGCTACCTTAGGGCCTGTCCTGGTCATCACTGAATACTGCTGCTATGGCGACCTACTCAACTTCCTGCGAAGGAAGGCGGAGGCCATGCTAGGCCCTAGCCTGAGTCCTGGTCAGGACTCTGAAGGGGACTCCAGCTACAAGAACATCCACCTGGAGAAGAAATACGTGCGCAGGTAGCTCCCTGGCAAAGGACAGGATGCAGACCCCCCCCCCCCCCCCCCCCATCTGTGTCATGAGGAATACCCACCCCAGGCTTTAAGGCAACTCTGCTTTCACATTCCCACCATTCAACAAATATCTGAACACCTACCATATTCCTGCAATGTGGAAGGCAAAGATGGGTTTCTGAACACATCACCTTCTTGTGTGCAAAGACTCTCCCAGGCCCAAACTTGGAGCCCTGGCCAGAGGTGGGAGGATGTGAGGGAAATGCTTGCTTCTGTTTGCCCCACGGCATGTCACTGGGAGCTGTAGGACACCCCACTCCACTCAGGAGTGGCCTGCCATGGGGAAGTGAGAGCAGAGTGTATTAATTGTTGAATGGAGGTAGTCAAAGAGCCTGGCCTGTGGTGAAGTTCCTGGTCCACTCAGACCAACAGGTGAGCCAACAGTGTTGAACCTCTCAGGTTCTGCTGTTCCGTGAATCCTGGAAGCCACCAGAGGCTATAGACAGAGCCACTGGGGAAGCAGAGAGAGGAAGAAACGAGTTTCATGTTGCCCATGAATGGGGCAGAGGAGGAACCTGGGCTGAGCTTGCTATATTTTGAGTTGGAGTCTCTGTCTGGTCATGGAGGGTTGAGCCCTAGCGCTAGACTACTGGGGTAGGGCCACACTCAGTCCAGGAGGGTGTGTACTGTGCTTGTGGTGTAAGCACTGGCAGCTGCTGAGACGGGGAGCCCGAGGGAGGAGGGGGTGCCCTAGCTACCTTCTGTCAGTGTGCAGACAGGCAAAGCACTCCTAGTGTGGGGTATTTCAGGGGCAAGTGGCATGCCCTAAACCTGTCCTACAGAGGGAACCCAAGTTATGCTAGTACAGAAGTATGGTTTCAAGAAGGGTGTTGGCGGTCTACCCAAACCTACAGAGAGACGTGCTCTTAACTGAAAGAGACTCGCTGAGGCGCAAATGCCCTGAGCCAGTTTAAGCTGTGCTCTAGACCTGGGCAAATTTAATGCTGAGTGGCTGCTCTGAGGATGGGGAAAGTTCAAACCTTGCCAAGTGATTTTTTTTTTAAGTGTACGTATGAGTGTGTGTCTGTACTACCCGTGTTCCTGCTATCCAGAGAGGCCAAAAGACGGTGTCAGATACTCTGGAACTGGGGCTACTACCAGTTGTGACCCACTGTGTGGGTGCTGGGAACCAAACCCAGATCCTCTGAATGAGCAATTCACTTCCATCCCTGTGTGACTTATATATATTTTATTTTTATTTTTTACATTTATTTATTTGTAATGCATGTATATAAGCTGGGTCTCTCACTTTCCACCATTTGGGTCCCTGGGATTGAGGTCAGGTCATCAGGCTTGGCAGTAAGTATCTTTACCCCATGAGCCATCTTGCCACCCTCCTAGAGTGATTTTTAATGAGAAGCCAACTGGTTAGATACAGTGTGGAGGAATCAGGGCAAGGACCTGAGAGGGAGTCACATTCCAGCAGGGCTGCTAGAAAGACAACCTCTTCCTACCTTTGAGGATAGAGCAAGGACCTGAAGGAAAACCCAAGGGCACGATGGTATTAGGAGGAACAAGGAACTTCGAACAGGCAGAGCTGCCCAATGACAGGATATCTGTGGCACCAAGGATGGTTAAGCAGGGCACAGTGGTTGCTCAAGTAGAATGTGGCAAGGGGCCTTTCTTATCAGAGAGGGACACTCAAGCTGACCTTTAGGTCCCTCCCCTCTAAGTGACTAAGGAAGTCCACGGGGCAGCTGGAGGACAATGCCTTTGCTAGGCAGTGCAGTGATGGGATCATTTCCCGATTCTCTTTCCTACCCAGGGACAGTGGCTTCTCTAGTCAGGGTGTAGACACCTACGTGGAAATGAGGCCTGTCTCTACTTCTTCAAATGACTCCTTCTTTGAGCAAGGTACGGAGGTACCAGGACGAGGGGTGAGAAGGGTGGATGGGCCCAGGGGCTGGGGACTGGGGGCTGGGGCTGAGGAGCAGCAGGCTGTGGCAGGGCTGCATTGCCTTTCCCTACCCAGATCTGGCCAAAGAGGTGAGCCGGCCACTGGAGCTCTGGGACCTGCTGCACTTCTCCAGCCAAGTGGCTCAGGGCATGGCTTTCCTTGCTTCTAAAAATGTGAGTATGTGTCGGGGGAGGAGTGAGAAAGGGGAGGGGAGGTGGCCCAGTGAGAAGGACGGAGGAGCATTAGTGTGAGCAATGTACAGAGGGCCTTCGGAGGCAGCAGTGCGTAGCTAGGGTGGGCTCTTCCTGGAAGCCTGGCCCCAGTCTTGATATGGCTGCTTAGAGGGCCAGAGGAGCACTGGAGACATGGCTGTGGGGCTTTCTAAAAGTTAAATTGACCACATCAAATTCTCTTATACCTCAGGTCTGCATAGGTTTGGACAGTACAGGACTACCAAAACCAGTATCCACTTCTCCATCAGGGACCAAAGACCACATGCTCCTCCTCCCTTCCTCGCCATAGGGAAGACATAAACAGACTAATCTCTCGGTGCTTTCCTCAGTGCATCCACCGGGACGTAGCAGCTCGAAATGTGCTGTTGACCAGCGGACACGTGGCCAAGATTGGGGACTTTGGGTTGGCTAGAGACATCATGAATGACTCCAACTATGTCGTCAAGGGCAATGTGAGTGGTGAGAGGGAGTGTGGCTGGTGGGGCAGGCTGCGGAGGGCCCTCGAGTGACACGGTACTGCCCCGGCAGGCCCGACTGCCGGTGAAGTGGATGGCCCCGGAGAGCATCTTCGACTGCGTCTACACGGTTCAGAGCGACGTGTGGTCCTACGGCATCCTGCTCTGGGAGATCTTTTCACTTGGTGAGCAGCGGAACCTGATCCGGCCACCGCCTAGGCCTCATCAGTCTTTGGCTACTCCACCGGTGTCTTGAACCTTACTGATGAAATCTGATCAATGATGCCTGGTGTCTAAGACAGAGCAAGGGCTGGCAAGAGCAAAGGGCTGATGAGGGCTCTTGAACCAGCACTCCAGCTCCTGAGGGCGATTCAGACTCTCCAGCCAATCTCTGAGTCCTTCCCTCACTTGCCTCTGTAGTAGCTCTTATGCTGTTGCTCCTTAGACACCTGCTAGATGCTTTTGAAGATGCTAATCACCTTCTAGCTCCCTTCAGTCCCATGGGGACTGGGCACAGTGCCCTTAGGTTGAATTCTTAACTGCACTGCCAAGTGACCTAGCATCACCCCTTTGCGGATTCACAATCCAGGTTTTGTTCCATCTGCTTCCAAAGCCTGTGCTGGACTCTGTGTGGTTGGTCGTGAGGGGCTGAAGGCTGTGGCCTCCCAAAGCCTAAGCCTACTTACTGCATAATGCTGCGTCTAGGAGGCCATGAAAACAAGTGGTTTCTGCTCTACACTACAGCTGGGACTTTTACACTCTGCCCAAGATGCTGGTGGGCGGGGAAGGGGAAAGCATGTGTGGTCTCTTGTATGATCCCGGCCTTTTGCAGGTTTGAATCCCTACCCGGGCATCCTAGTCAACAGCAAGTTCTACAAACTGGTGAAGGATGGATACCAAATGGCACAGCCTACATTTGCACCAAAGAACATGTATGCAAAAGCACCCAGGGAGGCAAAAGAATCTCTAGGGTTTGGGTAGTTACTGGAAGAGCATGTGGTCCTGGTCTTTGTCTAGAAGCTTCCAGAGCCAGGCTTCCATCTTCAGTCCATTCTTAAGATCCTATACTAAACTTTGAACCCAGGGGCCTCAAGCATGCTAACAGGTGCTGTACCACCAGGCCATACCTCTAGCCCCCAAATCAACTTTTGACTAGTTTTGGGGAGTCCATCACTAGTAGGTCTCCCTACTGATGTGCTCTGAGGGTCTTGACATGGGCAACCTTTGTTCTGTATCCAGATATAGCATCATGCAGTCCTGCTGGGACCTGGAGCCTACCAAGAGACCCACCTTCCAGCAGATCTGCTTCCTCCTTCGGGAACAGGCCCAACTAGACAGGACCGACCAGGTGAGAGGGATGGAGTACCTGCCTGGCTGGCTAGAACAGGCTGGGCTGGGCCTGAAAACTTCACCTGTCTCTGGCTTCTCCCACCCTCAGGACTATGCTAACCTGTCAAGCAGCAGTAGCAGTGGCAGCAGCAGTGACGGTGGTGGCGGCAGCAGCGGCAGCAGCAGCAGTGAGCTAGAGGAGGAGAGCTCCAGTGAGCACCTGGCCTGCTGTGAGCCAGTGGATAGTGCCCAGCCCCTGTTGCAGCCCAACAATTACCAGTTCTGCTGAAGTGGGACCACGGAGCACTGCTGCTCCCCATATCCCAGCTCTACCTCCTCCATGGACGGGCGACATGGGGAGAACACATGAACTTTGTCCTCAGCTTGGCCCAGCTCTGAAACTTCAGAACATGAGGGGTCTGGGGGAAAGTCAGAGGCCCCCATCCCCAGAGCCTGGGCCATCACTGCCAGTGGGGTTTTCACAGTGCTAGCCTGTATTCACTATGCCAGTTGGTGCACCCCTAGTTCACTTTCTTCATCTTGTTCCCACTTGGAAAGAACCCCTGTTCTTGTGTTTCAACGGAAAGACTGATTTGTGTCTCAGAAAAAGACAAGGCTCCCACGGCTATAAGTAAGTGGAGAGATTGCCTTCCCTGACAGATGCTCAGGCCACAGCCTTCTTAGGGCTCCTTCCTAGGCTCACAGGCCTGGTCTCCACTCTTGAACTACACTATAGCCCCGCCTCATCCTGGATCTTGGACTGCTAGAATGAGCCAAGCGGCAGCTAAAAGTGAGGGGCGTTCTAGCTAGTGCCCTGTCATTCTAGGCTGGAAGGCAATGCTGGCCACACCAAACAAATGTAGCACACTCCTCTCCCAGCTGACTCGTCCTCATTAACAGTCAACATTAAACTAACAGCATTAACACAGCCAGCTGTGTCTGGATCTTTGCAGCACACAGGTACCTCCGAGATCCCTAGGACGTCTTTCCACCCACCCATCCCTCTTGAGAAGTGACCAACAAGCACCCACTTCCAGGGCAAAAGGACACAATGAGCATTGAACTGGCTATTGCTTCATCAAAACCAGATAATTTAATAAACTTTATTCTTGTTGGGGGGGGGGGGAGAACGAGAGGGAAAGCCACCTATCCCACCCTCTCAATAAATTAAATAGCACTCGGCCAATCCCGGGCCCTAAGCAAACCATGGGCACCTGAGCCAGTGCTGCTGTTTGCTTATGGCCCTATCTGCTTCCCCTTCACAGAAGGGAGTTTTCCTACTGCTTGCCAGCTATGTCACAACCATGGGCCACATCCCCTCTGTGGTGAGGGTCCGAAGGCCCAGACAGTGTAGGGTACAGTAGCAGTGGCCAGAGAAAGGAGGAAGGATTCTCTTCCCCCAAACCCTGGGCAGAGGAGAGTCCTGGAGAGAGCTATAACTGCCTGCTCCTTCCTCCTTAGCTTCCCCGAGTTGTGGGAACAAGAGCTGGAGGAAAAAAAAGAATGCACCCCTCCTTTAGGCAGAATGAAGGGTCCAAAGGGACCCCAAGAATGACTAAGCCAGCAAGGCCCCTAGTCAAAGGCAACAGGCTAGGAAGCCCATAGGACTGGAACCAGCGGCCCTCACATGGGACATTAGCCTAACAGCCTCCCCATCTGGTACAGGATCCCAGGTGGTGCTGTGGGCCTGGGCGACCAGCTCCCAGCCTTTTCCCTCAGCCTCCTCTCCTCAAAAACATGCCTCCTTCACATGCTCTCTCAGGTCCAGCAGAGGTTTCCCAGCACCTCCCCTGAGCCACAGAGGTTGAGGGCCCCACTGTGCTCATGAAATGGAAGCTCTTTGGTCAGTTCCAGCAATCAGAGGCCCTCCCTACAGGGGACTGCAGATTCCCTCAATAGGTCTGCCTTGGGCAAGGGCCGTATTATGGCTTGAGAGAGATGGTGCAGGCCCTGTGCATAACAACCTGGCTTATTCTGCCACTGAGGCCACCTCCTCTTCCTCTCCATCCTCTTGTGTCTCTGTCTTGATCTGAGCAACCCCAAGGCGATAGAGGGTATCACGAATGACTACCTCGCCAGGCTGGCAGCTCTGCACGATGTCATGGATCTGCCGGTTGACAATTTCTCGGCTGGTGAGGAAGTCCATGAGGCGGTTGTAGAGGTAATAGTGGGTAGCATTGTCAAAGGCAATAGGCCGCTGGCGGATGCTGCTGAGTTTGCTGTCTGGGATGGAGGCATAGGGTGCCAGCTCAGGGCACAAAGATAAGGAATGGTGGCCAGCACTAGGGTCACTGGGATCGGGCTTTGTGTTTGTATGGACAATACGCCGTGTGGCAGTCTTGGTGACTGGATGCTGCACAGAATTTTCAGCTTCTGTCACATCCACAGAATAATGCTGGTCCAAGAGTTCAGGGCAGGACACACTCTGCAAGAAGAGAAGAGAAGTGCTCTGTAAGAGGGAAAGACAGAGAAAGAACCTTGTGGGAGAAAACAGGAGCGGTCCAGCCCTGGTTAAATCGCACAGCCCTTTCATACTATCTCCTATGCTCCCAATTCTTCATGTGAGAATGAGAATAGGAAATTTGTCATCCCAGCACAGACGCTGACTGCTTCAGGAGCTGTCATCGTTGTACTTGGCCAATGCAGGTACCACAGGAATGGGAGGAAGTGGATCTGAGGGGCATGTCACCTTTTTGGGTCTCTACCACAAGTTTTCAGAGCCCAAGAGTCCCAAGGAATAAGGAGAATAATGTCTGCTCCAAAGCCAGCCCAAAGCCTTTACCTCCCATAATGTACCTGGTGGTCATTTCCCTTATGACACTTCTCTTCTTTCCTAGTACCCAATGCCTCCTCTAGTGAAGGCCAAAGGCAGGCCTGGCTGTGCACATGCCTTTAGTAGACACGACCTCCTGGTACAATGTACTAAGCAAACACAGGGACTTTGCCAAAGCTCTGCTGTGTGACCCTGACTAAACCCAGTTGCTGCTCTGGGTCTTATTTTTGCTTTTCTACTGGAAGCAGAGGGTTAGAGAAGATCAGTGCTGAGTACTGAACCCCAGACCCCACCTTCCTCAAGCAGCTTAAACAATAAAAAAATAGACTATTATTTAGTTTACAGTTCTGGATGCAAAAATGAGTGTTTTCTAGGCCCACTGTATCTGCGTCTCAATAGTCATGTCCTATAGCATGTAAGACTCAGGAATTAAGAGTGCTCTTCAAGGTGGCCAGGGTGTACACTGACTCCCAGAGGTGGCAACCTTCTGGCTTCTCTGTTTTCACACGATGCCTATGTTTGGAACACCCCAAGCACACTAACCAATACGCTTTGGTCTATACCATGGTCAGTTAGTAAAGTGTCTGCTGCAAATACTGGTGCATCAAGGTAAAGTACTGATGGAGAGGAAGGATGCTAGCGATAGTTCCCAGGCAGGCTCCCCTACATCAATCGCGTGTGCGTGGGATTTATTCCAGTTCTTAGGAGGTGACTCACCACAATTGGCTCTGTAGGGCTAGAGAAACAGCCCTGGTTTTTCCCCCACATCTGGTTAGTCAGCTCTGGGTAGCAGAGGTCAGCACATAGGGCCACTGGTGTGGCCATATCTACCACATAGACAGGTGGCCAGTGGCGGGAAGAGGCAAGCAGATCCACGTGGTCACGGGCACTTTCACCTCGAACAAGATACTTGGAACCGCAGACCACCTGTGGGAGATGAAGGGTACAGGGCAGAGTTGAGGAGCCAGCCGGCAGGCTGCTGGAATAGGACCTCACTTACTCCTTCCACGGAAGATCAGCCTCGAGACTGAAGCAGGGGTATGACATTTGGTTGCTCTCCTCCTCCTTTCAAAAAAGAATTAGTACTGTGCATGCAGGCTTGGGTACGCCATAGCACACACACAGAAGTCGGGAGATGACTTTTCAGGAGTTCTGTTTGCTCCTTCCACAGTGGATTCTGGGATTGAGCCCAGGTTATTAGGTTTGCTTGGCAAGAGCCTTTAGCCACTGAGTCACTGCACCGACCTTCTTGTCCTACTTACATCCCTAAAGGAAGTTACCAGCTCATCCTTGTCCTGAGAACATCTAGGACTTAGGTTAGGCAGAAAGGTCCCTCAGAACATCTCTAAACCCTACTCCATTCCTATCACTCTACACCCATCCTAGCAATGTGAACACAAGGCTTAGGGCTTCTTCCCACTAGATTTCAATGGGCTGCCCCAAAACAGCCTTTGCTGTGACCTAGTAAGTACCTCTACCAACACTCTCCACTTACCTCACTTCTGGACAGATCTGAGTACACTGGAGAACTCTGCCTTCGCACCGCTGATCTGTCACTCCCACATGAAATGTTCCCCATTACAGCCCCAAGACAGCACTAGAATCCCTGTACTGTCCCCTGCTTCTCAGAAGGTGATGATGGGCACATAGCAACATACCCTGAGTGGGTGCTGATCTGCCAGAGTAAGCTTCAAATCCCTCCCCCAAACCCCAGATTTGTTCCAGTGACTAGCTACCTCATCCTTCTTTTACAGCCCGCTCAGCCTGACTCTCAAATCACTGTAAACTGGGAGTCTATTGACAATGCCCATTTGGTACTGGTTTTTCCATTCTGATACTTTCCTCAGTCAGTTCTGCCATCGATTACACAACCAATCCCATAGCTTTGCATCTGGAGTGATTTCACCAGCCCATTTCCCATTCAACATCTATTCTGACCAGCTTCAGAATGAAGTCGAAGGAGCCACTCCTCCTCTGGCTCTCCCGTGGGCTCTTCCTTTGTCCCCAGGTCTTGGCCTTCTCTGGCTACTAGAGACTGCAGGTCCAACCCCACTTTCTACCTCAGTTCTTTGCCTGGTTCCTCCAGAACTAGCATCACAAGCTGTGGTAACGTTCCTTCTCCACAATAATGGGGGTCAACTAGAGAAGAACAGCATCTCTGTCATTACCCTTGTACACTTATGCAACTCAGGGCCAGCATGCAGTACGGTGTTTAATACATACACTGAGTTACCCTCTCAGCAGCCTCTCCAAGGCCCCAGATGGCAGTGATTCCTTAGGTTGCAGAGAGAGATCAGTTCTAGACCCAAAGGGACCAATCAGATTCTATGTGAGCAGCTCAACACTGACAGACGCATCCAGTGCTGTTACTTTCTCACCTGATGGGGGCACACTTTGTAGATTTTCCCCCCTGTGAAGTGAGTTGGGGGCGGTCTAGCTCTGGCTCCATTCTGTACAGATTCATAGAGTGCCAATAAGGAGAAGCAGAGCTGATCCTGGAGAGGAGGAAAAGATTAAGGCTCAGGCACAAATGCTAAGGTACCCAATATAAAATGTCCCTCCAAACCAAGCCTCACCAGCCCTGTCCACTAGGTGCAGGTAAACATGAGGCTCCAAAGGAAGCTGCCAGACCTGTGCCTTGTCTTTTCTTATTTGTTTTGTTTTAAGTCAGAGAGACCTTCAAAGAGGAGTTACCATTTGAATCTGAGTTTGAAGGAAGCATATTGTCAGTAGCACAGAAAGCAAGGTATGAATAAAAGCCGATCACAGCATACAGTCTGCGTTTACAGCAGTATTTTTATAAGCCTGAACCCAGTCCTTGTGTGACGTATACTTGAAAAGGGCCTTGTGAATTTTCAGCTGTTTTGATTTTGTAAATGAGGTTAACAAATTTAAAATGTGACTTAGCATCATACAGAGCAAGAAGAGCCAGATTAAAAACCCGAGTCTAGGTCAAGGCCTCACATACGCCACTATCTGTCTGGTTTTTTTTTTTTTTTTGTTTGTTTTTGTTTCCTGACCTCTAGAATCCTCTGTCATAGAGGGTTTATGCCCTGTACAGAAGAGAGAGTAGTTGGCTTGTTCCCAAAGCTCCACAGTCTCCACAGCTGCTCCCAACACTCACCCTGGAGTCTTCTGGGCTAAAGGGGATGCCG